TGGAGGGATGACCAAGAGATAGTAAATTTTTAGAAAAACGTGTTTTAAAATGTAACATTTTGTTCCAAATGACTAATCTAGCCAATTTTCAAGTTCTTTTATAGCAAATCAAAATACAATATCGGAAAAAAATATTTCTCTTTCCTATTTCACAGGAACCCGATATATCAAAAGAAGGCTAAAATTTCATATGACAGATCAATGAAATTTTCGCTTTTCAAGTGCGCACAGATTCCTGCCGAATGCCAATCAATAGCGCCCTCGTCCTTTATGTAAATCACCAAAATATCTCATTTACCAACACCTTGTTGATAATTTTACCCCCCCCCCCCCCATCTTATTTATGTAAACTGATACATTTAAAATATAGAGTACTAATAACAAGATTAAGACTCTCTGCACATAAGTTAATGATTGAACAAGGAAGATATAACAGAATTTCGAGAAATGATAGAATATACCATCTTTGTGAATAAGGGGACATAGAATTTGTTTTAAAATGTCCACATTATAGTACATTAAGACAAAATTCCATAAGAAAGCTTCTACTCCCGAAGACCAAGCGTCTTCAACTTAGTACAATTACTTAGTACACAGAATATTAAAGAATTGTGTAATTTGGGAATTTATGTCCAGTATGCATAAAAGATAAACATGGTGTTAATATACCCCTTGTACCAATATTTTGGTTTGGGTTAATAAATTGTACTTGAAACGAAGCCTGTTTCGTTAATGCACGAGCATTTTAACTCTCTGATAGCCAATCAACATGTTTTATGAAAAGTGAAAATCCCACGCGTGGACTGAAAACAAGCATGTCATTTCATGGCCGTAGGAACCGGAAAGGGGGGGGGGCACAATAATTTTGCCGATATATAGATATATAGATTACTATAGTAAACATAGATACTGTATGCTTGTGCCCTCTAAATTTAATAAAACCTAGTTTAAAAACAATTACCGGTAAGTCAAAATGGGGCACCTAAAGCCGATCGGGAGTTATAGTTGATGCAATATAAACTGTATTTTTTTTTTTCACTGTAAAATTGTAATTTGCTATTTCAATGTAATTATTAAAGAGAACAAAATCAACATTTTTGCATTTTATAATTGCGATGGGAAAAAAATTGATTAAAGCATAATTACATCGTACAAAATTGAAATCACAGATTTTTTTTCTGGTAATATTTCAGTCTTATTAGTCATTAAGGGAATTACGTTCTTCAAAAAAACTTAAAGCAACATTGCGTAACTAAAATAATATCTAGGTGCAAACATGTTTTTAATGGATAACCATGATAACGTTTAAAAATATAAATATCAAAGAACAAAATCAATTATCAATACGTTGAATCGGGCTCGATGTTCGACGTAACGATGTGCATATGCTGTGACGTCATATCGAAGGTCGAGAGAATGACTCAATGAGGTTGACATGTATGCAGTGTACATTCAACATTATAGGCTATTAAATGGCGATAAATCGAAATGTTTTATGTGTATATTAAATTGTAACCATGAATTAGCGGAAGGTGTAGAGAAAAATACACGTAAAAATTAAGAGTGACATTGTTTTAATTTAATAGTAAATCCAGAGGAGTTCTGATGACGTTCCCCATAAAAATGAATGATAAAAAACATTCCCCATAATTTTCGAATACATACTGAAACGACAGATAGGTTATTTTTAAGATAAGAAAGGAGAGAAAGCAACAAAACAGGTATTTTCTATAATAATTGTCCATTATTGAAATAAAAACATATTAGGAAAACACTTTCCCCACAACATATTCCAGGCGTCCAATTCCTCACAAGTCGGTTATGATGGGTAAGAGAGAGAGAGAGAGAGAGAGAGAGAGAGAGAGAGAGAGAGAGAGAGATTTGTATTGAAAATGCAAAAAAAAAAAAAAAAATAAAAAATATTTATCCATATTCTTGCGGTTAAGGTTTCAAATAATCCTTAAACTACAGTATATGGCCATAAGTGAGTCATAATTGCATTTTTACATTATTTATTTCACTGAAAAATTAATTTGTATAAAAACTTATTGTGTCGAGGTCAACTTTAGCCCAATTTCCATGATTATTTCACTAAATCATACAGAATTGTTCAGATTTTCTTGTTTTATAATGCTAAACAAAACGATATACTAACCATTGAAAATAATATATTAAATCGTCAAAACAAAAATTTCTAACCCCAATTTACTATGATTTCTTAACAAATTAGAGTCGTAAAATTTTTAATTCGCATTTGATGTGTGATATCACCGCAGTGCCTACAGATAAAATTATTTTGAAATTATATCAAGAAACTGCAAAGAATTCTACATTTTATGGTGTTTTAGTCATAAATAACACTACAATACTATTTTAGAAAAATACATTTTTCAATGAAATACATAGTGGAAAAATAAAATGATGACTCACTTATGGCCAGGTACTGTATCTTTTAAGATTTTCTCAAAATATAAGAAATTGAATAGGTACCAAATTTTAGACTGCCGGCCTGCGGAAACTCTCCAATCTGGAAAGGCTTCCTATACATGCATATAAAACAGGCACGTAGCACCGTTTCTCAAAATGTGTGTATGCGAGGGGGAGCGGAGGCAGTAAAGCGATTGACAAGCAAAAGAAGAACTTTAGGCACTTAAAAATTGGAGAGAGTGAAGAGAAAAATCGGCATTAAAAATATCCGGGAGGGACAGATTCCATTCATACTATCATTTTCGGCAGAAAAATATTTGAGTACAATATACAATAATGTTGGATGAGAGTGGGAGGGGGGAGGGGGGCAGCCAGTCTTAAAATTAAAATATTCTTTACAAAAACAACTGTAAAAGAAGGCCTGGAGAACGCGTGGGTGGGGGATGCTCCCTCACACATTTTTCCGAGCATAATGTTTTACTGTTTAGTATGAAATACACACTAGAAGGCTGCCCCCTTTTTGTTGCACTATAGTCAAATCTTCCAAAAGCCCCCCACCCCCGCCCCCACCATCACCGCCACAAAATAGGATTTGGGAGATTTTTATTTATTTATTTATTTTTTTAATTATTAGCATGATTTTTATTATTAATTTTTTTTTGTTTGCTTGTCAAAGATTTTTCAGGTAAAATGTCAATTACGTCTTAGACGCTACGTGGCCTGAAAGACACTTTAATTTGTTTTCTGGTTAAATGCTTTCATGTCGTGTTCTAAATCATTTTCTTACACCAAAGTACTCAGTTTGGTTTTTAGATAATCAGAATTTTTTTTAGTGATTTCTTATTTTTTTACCCAGTCGCGCAAATACTAATTCCCTTTTTCACTTTTTTGATATTTTCCCTGACCAAAATCTGATCAGCACGAACTAAGTGTATATGAGTGCTAGGCTGTACGATAAAGTGACAACGTGTTTACTATTGAGTATTTATGGAGTTTATTACTTTTTTGTGATGCATATTTCAATAAATGGAATACAAGGTGTAAATCACTCGGCATGTGCGCATCTTCGAACGGTACAGTGGTCTATTTCCAGGTATGAATAAGTTTACAGCGTTCGACGTGTTCTCTCGATATACATCAATTGTATTTGAATGCATATGGACATGCATAGCAAATACGCTGGTTGTTTGTTCCATTCTTACAAAAGATACATGTAATTGCATTTGTCTACTACGAGGTTTACCGAGTATTATTTCAAGTTTATTGTGCATATATTGGTATGCAACTATGTTTTTTCTTCAAAACTTGCATTTATATTATTCAAAACGATAATTATTCATAATATCGTTATGACTGTTTTTATCTGTTCTGGTTTTAAAATGTTTTCATCAATCCATGTGTTCCCAAATACTTTACTATCGGAGATGTGCACGCGTCGATAGCCAAACCAAAAATTCACTCAAGTGTAACGAGGGCACTGGGGTATATATCGTTACAATAAGACAAGGTATCTAAAAGAAATATGGCGGAATAGTTGGTATGAAACAAGTTGTACATTGATGCAAATGTTGCGTATTTAAGAATTCATGTCAGCTTTAAGGGGCGAATATCGATTTATGATAACCAGAATTCTCGATTCGGGTTACGCTTAAAATAATTTTATCTGTCTATTGAAATACGAAAAATGTAAAGTACTTGTATCTATATTGAAAACGTATCAGTCCAAAAATATGCCTTAACTACTTTACTATTTAATGAAACGAAAAACGAAAATAAAGCACTGGAATACAGAAGTGAAAATGTAACTGCTTTGAAGTATAATCATGATACGCACGTGCTATCAGTAAGTGATTGTCATTGCCAAGTCCAGATAAATATTTTTAGTCATATTTTTGACAATTAAATTCCTTGAAACAAAGTGCGTCTGTATTTAAATAGTGATAATATTTTGTCGATTTTGTAGAACTTGACTCGGCAAGTTGTCCGAAGTATAATTTCTCATCTACTAAATAAAAACAAATATTGTCAAACATTAATTAACAAACACATTTACACATTCAATTCTAAAAACATATATATCACATTTTCAAATCTATTTTATATCATTGAGAAATAATTGGTCACCCTTCGGGGAGATAACTCGTGTTCTTGTTCGGAACCTGAGCGATATACAGCGATTTGCACCGGGGAAAGGGGGGATGAAAAAAAAAAATACAGGAATGAAGAAAAATGCGTGATCTCTGCTGCCTCTACTGTAATTTTATTAATGTGTTATTTACTGAATCCTTCCTTAAAGACAGATGTAACAATTGGATGCTGGGACCGATGTATATTTTTTGAATTATTTTAGTTTTGAGATATGCAAATAAATATCACATATATCCTAAAATATTCAGAAATTTACTCTTTTTGCCTCCATCCTTGAAATTCATTTTTAAATCTTACAGTGGAGAATTAAACAGTTTGTAGCTAAACTTATTAATTTTACTAATTTTCACAAGGATTTTATTGACTATTACGTTATTTATTGAAAAAAACCAAAATAATAAAGTCCACAAAAATTATTTTTCTAGGTTCTGAAATATGTCGAAGTCCTCCAAGTATAAGCCATACTCGTGTATAGCCTGCTGTAAGCGCATCAAGACTAGCGTACGAAGACCGCTTTATGGAAATCAGGCTCTTCGAAAATTTTTGTCAAAGAGATTTGTGAAAGATTTAGGTAAGGATGACGTAGTCTGTAACAAGTGCAGGCAACTCTACTACGTCTCCCTCAGACAAGAATCCAGAGTTCCAGAAGTCCAAAATGTTGAAGACAAACAAAATGCTGCCCCGCCTGAACCTGTAATACTACCCATTCTGTCCACCGGATATCGACATGACGCTTGTGGAATATGTGAAAAGAAGCCCCGTAAACTAGTTGTCATTCCAGAGCAGACTCGGCTTGAAGTGTTTGTACAACTTGGTGTGTTCATGAAAGAGGGTTCCAGGTGTTGTCCTTCTCATATTTATGGCGGACACTTGACATCAGAGGCGTTGAGCTACGGGTTTTCTGAGAGAGTTAGAAAATGTACGTCACTCAGCAATGACAATTTAAGGAATCTTCTTGACAGTTTAAGAAACTATGCGAAGAGAAAAGCATCCACTCGTCTGGATTTTGATAATGATACTTCTCTTTCTGACGAGGATTATCGCAACCTGACAGGACTCACCCGGACGCAGTTCGAGGATCTAATGGTTAATGTGGAGGAAATCAAGACATCCAAATCCAGAAGCATCCGCACTTGTGTTGCAATTTTGCTGATGAAACTGCGATGTGCTCTAGATAATAAAATGCTGGCTACCCTTTTTAATATGAAAAAGTGGCAGGTACGCTCTTAACGCTATAACATTGATCTTTGGTGTTTTATTGTTCTTTTAATAAGATAATGATTTTTTCTTTTAAAATATTTTTTAAAAATTCATTAGGAAAAAATTCTGTGCGTAAGTCTTTCTATTATGTTATCAAGGTATGCAGAGCCGTTTCCTCAGCAAGACGCTCCCTTATGAAGGACTTTGTGCCACAAAACCTGGGATTTGGACATATTTCTCGCGACGAAGTCATAACTAAGCATACGAGGCCCCTAGCACAGGAGTTGTTTTCCCCTGGTTTGACAGAGACGACCCCAGCTTTGCTAGTGTTAGACGGAACGTATATATACATCCAGAAGTCTAACAATTTCAGTTTTTCCAGACGCTCGTATAGTCTACATAAACATAGACCTCTCGTTAAGCCAATGATGGTCGTTATGACATCTGGATATACTGTGTCCGTCCTCGGTCCATATCTATCCGATTAAAAAAACAACGACGCCGGTATTCTTAGCCACATGATTGAAAGAAATGCCGAAGAAATGAAGAGTTGGTTACAGGAAGGAGACACATTTATAGTCGATCGTGGCTTCAGAGACAGTGCCGACGTTCTGGCTGACATCGGTATTCGGATGGAGATGCCAAGTTTTCTGAGAGGAGCAAAGCAACACCCTACCGAGGAGTCAAACAGCTCCAGATTGATTACTAAGGTATATATTTGTAATTAGTTCATATGTTTAGTATTTTTATCTGAAAGTCAGTCCGAGTTTTTTTCTGACGTTTTATTCTTTTTTGCAATTTTGCAAATTATTTTTCATATCATTTAAAGGTGCGCTGGGTTGTGGAGTCCGCCAACGGACGAATAAAGCGTTGGAAATTCCTGGACCGGACAGTATCCAATAATCAGATTCCATTCATAGCCGATTATGTACGCATAGTTGCTGCAATCTCCAACAGATATTGCCCTCCGTTAAGTTCTGGAGCAGACGACGATCAAGCCATCGCATTAAAAATGCTTCATTTATCCCAGAAAGGTAATGAGCTCAGAGAGCTCGTGGAAAGCGAGGGTTGGGACAGGAGACCTTCCCAGTGGAAAGCTCTTGATGCAGATAGTGTTGCCATAGATTTTCCTATTTTGTCTGAAGATGAGATCCACAATATCACATTAGGAACCTATCAGGTCAAGATGGCCAGAGCATACACACATGAACATTTCCAAGATGACGGTGCGTATGACATTCTTATTGCAGAAGATAAAGCAAACATAATTGGAGCAAAAATTCAAAGTCGTCACGTGTCGGCCAAAACATACCTTTGTTGAATTCGCCACAGTGAAGGGACTATTTTATCGTGGTACTGTAAATGTAAATCTGGTTCCCGTGTTGTCGGGTGTTGTGCACACATTACCAGCGTGCTTTGGTATCTTTCCTTTGCACGGCACCAGTCTAAACCTTTGAATGGCGTTCGAAACTGGGCGGATCACCTTGAAGACGCTGCCCGTGTTGTTGATGAATCCGACAGTGGTGCAGAGAGTCCTACGGAGGAATAAATGTAGACTGCTTTTGAAGTTTTGTTATTTATATTATCTGTGATAACATTTTCTTGTTGATAAACGTGAATTGATTTCAAGAATTAGACATACGATTATTAAATATTCTCTACATTTTCCTCACCTCGAATTTTCTTTGTCTTACGTAATCAACAGAAAGGGGAAATATAATGACCTAAATATGCATAGCAAAAATATTTTATTTGTTAATACGAATAGTCTTTCTTCTGAAATGAGGAAATCATATTGAGTAAATAATTATTTTTACTGTTTAGGTGATTTTAAGAATTTTTTTTTTTACATTAAAAGGAATATCTTTACAGGGAGTACATTAGTATACGGCGACATGATTGAGAGAGAGAGAGAGAGAGAGAGAGAGAGAGAGCGATTGAAAATAGTTTGAGTTGCCTTAAATTCCACGCAGGGAATTTTATAAATATTTGGCATGCTTTCAATATGAAAAAATCTTTTTCTACCCCACCCGTTTTATGGAAACTTAATCGCAAATGACTTTTTTTTTTTTTACAAAAAGCTCTCCCATCGTTTATAAATATTTGATCTTTATATGATGCAAATAAGATATAACGTCATTGATGTCTTTCAGATAAACGGACGTCGGAACTAACGTCACGGTGATGAAATACCACTTTTTAAGAGTTATTTCCGATACATTCCACGTGATCAGATATAAGTGAATTATATATCATTAGAAAGATAAAATTCTAAACTTTACATACGATAAATCTCAATATTTTTTAAGAATCGGCCAAATTCGCCCCAAAACGTACTTTGTTCTTTTTCCATGTTTGGTGGTTGTGCAAGGGCATACATTCTTAAGGCAGCCTATTGACCTAACAAAATCCCTTTCGAAACCTCACCAACACAAGGACATGGTCAGAGAGAGTGGATAGGATTTGGGTGCATGGTCATCATTTATAGATCCATTGGAAGTCATCATTATTTTAAAATATACAGGTTACTTCAAAACAAATGCATCGCTACACTAATGCAGCTGGTTCTATAGGGTTCAAAGTTATTGTCTGTAAAAAAAAAAAAAAAGAAAGAATATATATAGTTCCATGGGTCTTGGCCACAAAATATCTGATGGATTACAATATTATCCTCAGGAATTAATCTCAATTGTTTTAGCTGTTGAATTATGGGACGTTCATTTAAAGAATTCATATGTCATATTCCATTCTGATAATGCAGCTGTTGTTTGCATATTGTAAACTTACAAACATCGAAAAATTCATTGAGAAGATTAGTTTTGGCTCTTATGACAAAATTTTACCAGATTTACTTTCATGCTTAAGAACAAGATATTTAAAGAAGTGTTTGTGGATATTTAAGCATACCAATCTATCTTTTACAACTCTCCAAACAAAGCCTGTATTTTGTTAGATGCAGCTTTAGCTCCTAACCCAAAGAAAGTGTACAGGCATGCTCTAAATTGTTTTAAGGGTTTTATTCAGAAGTATTAAGAGACCAACTGCATTAAAGTGATCTCCCTGGGACAGGTTATGTCTTTTGTGTCTTACATGTACCTATTCAATTTAGGAAAATCACCAAGATCTATCTCACCTGACAGCATGGACATAATATTTTTAAATGCCAAACACCCCAGATCTCTTAAACCAATTGTTAATTAGGAAAATGTTAAGTGGGACAAAACAGCTTGCCAGGTCAGCTGATGTGTGACAGCCTATTATTTTGGATAAAAAAAAAGAAGAAGACTTTTAGTGGCAGTACCATAGGTAGCCAGTTCTAAGTAACAGGCATGTTTATACATGATAATGTTCCTTTTAGTATTTTTTGCTTTGCTGAGAGTGAGGGAAATCGTGGTTTATTCAGACTCAAGTCCAAACTTGCTGCTTTGAAGAAATATTTCTTTTCAGGCATGACTAAAAGGAGTCTAAAGGATTCTTACAATGAATCAACTTTCAATACATTTTAGGTAAAATAGAGTCTATCTAGCTTTGGTGCAGGGCAAACTATGTGAAGTTAGTTGGAAAGGACCCCTTTTTTGCTACAGCAGCAACTATGGCACATTTACAGGGTTTTTAAGATTCACAAAATAAGACACATGGGATGGTTGTATCTGGTGTCATTCCAGAGATACAGTAAGGTCCCAATATTCCCAGCCTTTTATTTGGTACATAGATGTTTTCGTTTAGGGTAGCAGAAAGTCCAATTGTCCAAATACATACAAGATTGTGATATTTTTATTTATCACTATTTTGTGTCAATTCATGGGTCTTGAGGGGTTTTTCCGGTTTTATATATAAGCGCCGTCTAGTTAAGGTTATTAGCCTCATCCTTATCAAAATAACTTTTGGCTCTGAAAAGGTTGTTTACAAATTTTACCCACCTCCACCCATTCAATCTTACATATATATTGTTATTGTTGTAGAAAATACATGTACTAGTTTTCCTTTGTATAAGGTGTGGGATATTTTTTGGGCCCCACTTTCTGCTGCATTCTGAAATTGTAAAATTTGTAATCTCATTTGCCATTTGTAATAAATGCTCTATACACACACACCCTCTTTATTATTTGACTTGCTGCAGAACAGAGCTGGAAATGTGCTTCAGGTTCATATGAACTGAATTGTTCATCAGTTTCAGTATTTAAGAGCACATAACAAACTGTTTTACGATTGCTGAAGTGCATCTTTGCAAACTTCTAGATTTAACTTCTGAAGCAAAAACAAATAGCGTCTCCAGCCCGCTACTCCCCACTTTTTATTCTCATTTAATATGCTTTGCACTATAACCCCACATATAAAAAAAATAAAATCAATAATATTGAACAGGTGCATAAATAATTCAAGTTAATTATAATTTTATTAGTTTCACAACTGTGACAGATTTCAGTGTGTTTTACACTAGCTTAAATACAATCTAAAAAATTTAAAAATTAAAATTGAATTTTAAATTTGGCATCGTTAATAATTTATCAGATTTAAAGTTGTGGGAACTTACAAGTGCAACATCTTCTATTCTTTTTAATAAAGAATGCATTTTTAAAATGTGTGAATATTACTTAAAAAAGATATGATTTGTAGCGAAGTAAAATTTTAATACATGTATTATCAGCTTTTTATCAGTTTATTTATAATAAGATATGATTACACAGAATGAAATGTCTCTTCATGTTACTAATTTTTTTTTATCATTTTATCATATATGTTTACTTACTGCGTAACTCTGATTATTACTTCGAAAAATTCTTTTATCATTTATCATTTTCCTCGAGCCAGTGATAAAAATTGCTTACAATATATATATATATATATATATATATATATATATATATATATATATATATATATATATATATATATATATATATATATATATATATATATATATATAAAATATATATAGATATATATATATAAAGCACTAAAAACCAACAACACTGTATATCCTAAGTGTCGGATCCACTAAGAAGATACAAAGACCTAAAGAAAGAAATTTCTCCGAGACAGTGTTCCGCAGACCAAGAACAACCGGTCGGAGGTCCGAGTTAACAAACCACGTAAACCCCGCTCGAGACGCTTCAAGCGCTTAACGACAATCGCGAGGAACGGACCCTCACAAACTCCTGACGTCTGCCCAGTGCTCAATAAATCTAGTGTTCCTCTCTCCGAATCGGAGACCTCACTTCTTTCCAAGGGGCTGAATTTCTGTCCCACACCACATGAGGTCGACGAAAAACAAGTCAGAGAGGACACCCGAGCATACTTTCGGAGACTTCGGTTGAAGGAGCACTTTTCTAGAAAAGACTCCGAGGTTGACTCATATGACTCTTCTCAGCCACAATTGCACGACTTAGAGGAACACAAACTCTATCGGCCCAAAAGTGACTGGGAACCTGCACCGGGAAAATGCGGAGCTCTTGAGTCGTATATTGACGCCGTTGAGTCAGACATAGAGAAACTCCTTTCAATGCCAGACAAGGCTCCCGACAATTTGAGTAAGGAAGAGAGATCCGCCTTACAATCATTAAAGAATCGGGATGACATTGTAATCAAGAAAGCAGACAAAGGCTCTACAGTTGTAGTACTTGATAAAGAGACGTACATGGCAGAGGCCCATAGACAACTCTCAGACGAACGTTTCTATAAGAAACTGGACTCTGACCCTACTAAAGAATTCTCCACCGCCATTACCAAAACTCTTGACGAAATGTTTGAAAAAAATGAGATTGGTATCAACGTCTACGAGACACTCAATCCTATTGACTGTAGACCAGGACAATTTTATCTGCTTCCTAAGATACACAAAGAAGGTATGCCAGGTCGCCCTATAGTTAGCGCAATTGGACACCCCACGGAGAAAATTTCTGAATACATTGATTTACATCTCCGTCCACACGTAGAGAATTTGCCATCCTATCTTAAGGACACCACGGACTACATTAACAAGACGCCCTCTACTGGCCTTCCAGATCATACCCTTCTCGTGACTATGGACGTCACATCTTTGTACACCAATATTCCGCACGATGAGGGTATCGAAGCCTGTAGAGAAATCTGGGATAGTAGATCCATACAAATTCCTTCTACCGAGTCCCTTGCCAAGCTCCTTGAACATGTTCTCAAGTATAACAACTTCATGTTTAATGGAGAACATTACCTGCAGGTCAATGGCACTCCTATGGGTACGCAAATGGCACCATCTTATGCCAATATTTTCATGGGCAGACTTGAACGCAACTTGCTACTTCAAGCACCATTTAGGCCCCTTAGCTGGTTGCGTTTCATTGACGATATAGAGGTGAAGTGGGTGGAATGTCGCGAGAGCCTCGAGGCATTCATTTCGTTTGCCAACACCTATCATCAGTCTATCGAATTTACAGTAGAGGTATCTAATTCGAAAAACATATTCCTAGATACTACATCTACCCTGACTGATGGTGAAATCGAGTTCAGTCTCCACACGAAACCCACAGATTCCCATTTGTACCTTATGCCTACTAGCTGTCATCCCCCACACACATTTAAGGGTGTCCCTAAGTGTCTAGCCACCAGAATTCTGCGCATCTGTTCATCCCCTGCCTTATATCAGGAACA